CCTGTGAGTGGACACACCGCCATAGTGACAGTATTGGGCAGCGTCACTCATCCTGTGAGTGGACACACCGCCATAGTGACAGTATTGGGCAGCGTCACTCATCCTGTGAGTGGACACACCGCCATAGTGACAGTATTGGGCAGCGCCACTCATCCTGTGAGTGGACACACCACCATAGTGACAGTATTGGGCAGCGCCACTCATCCTGTGAGTGAACACACCGCCATAGCAGCATGTACAACACTCCCCAATAGGAAGAAAACCCGCTGGGTTGTTCATCCTGTCACTTGTACCCAGACACAGCTGGCACTTGCTTAACTGTCACAAGTGAACAGTCTAATCAGACAGGAAGATTGACACCTGTCAACTCCTAAAATTGACGTTTTCCTCTCGAGGTGATGGAAGTTGATCCTCTGTTGTGTCTCATTCTTAGTATGAAGAAGACTCACGTGGCCCCTCTTCACAGTGGGCTCAGTCTAAGACATTCTAACATCCGTATGAGCTCCCTCCTAACCCCCTTCCAGCCGCTAGGACTCCCCAGCCCCCAGCCCTCCTGCAGCCCTTCCTCCTATCCCCTTCCCAGCCCCCACTCAGCCCCCAGCACTTCCCCAGCTCCCTCCCAGCCCACTCCCAGCCCCCACTCATCCCCCTCTCAGCCCCCTCCCAGCCCCCAGCACTCCACCAGCTCCCTCCCAGCCCACTCCCAGCCCCCACTCATCCCCCTCTCAGCCCCCTCTCAGCCCCCTCCCAGCCCCCACTCCCAGCCCCTCCCAGCTCCCTCCCAGCCCCCAGCCCCACCCCCAGCCACAAACACTCAACAACACCGTTAACTCACGGCTGATAAACCGTACGATTCATTAAACCATTTTGTCAAGTGTCCGCCTGCTTCCTTCCCATCTTTCTTGCTCACCATCTTTGGTGGTGGTGGAGTCTTCCAGCTCCTTAGGGGGCGGTGCTCCCCTCGGGGGTCTTGGTGGAGCCGTCGTGGTCTTAAAGGGGGGCGGTGCTCCCCTCGGGGGTCTTGGTGGAGCCGTCGTGGTCTTAAAGGGGGGCGGTGCTCCCCTCGGGGGTCTTGGTGGACCCGTCGTGGTCTTAAAGGGGGGCGGTGCTCCCCCTTTGGCACCCCTGGAAGGAAAAATTATAATTGAAATAGATTTACTTTAATGAGATTGAGGAAAAATTAAGAATGGTTGTTAATGGTAAATAAACTTATGGTTACCGGGATGTTCCGTTGCGGGGGGGGGGAGGTACCGTTGGGGGGGAGGGGGTACCGTTGTGGAGGGGGAGGGGGTACCGTTGTGGGGGGGGGGGGAAAGGGGGGTTGAGTTATGAACAGTAGACAAACTACTCCAAGATGAGACGTCCCACTCCCACAGCTGGTGGCCCAAGATGAGACGCCCCACTCCCACAGCTGGTGGACCAAGATGAGACGCCCCACTCCCACAGCTGGTGGCCCAAGATGAGACGCCCCACTCCCACAGCTGGTGGTCCAAGATGAGACGCTCCACTCCCACAGCTGGTGACCCAAGATGAGACGCCCCACTCTCACAGCTGGTGGCCCAAGATGAGACGCCCCACTCCCACAGCTGGTGGTCCAAGATGAGACGCCCCAATCCCACAGCTGGTGGCCCAAGATGAGACGCCCCACTCCCACAGCTGGTGGCCCAAGATGAGACGCCCCACTCCCACAGCTGGTGACCCAAGATGAGACGCCCCACTCTCACAGCTGGTGGCCCAAGATGAGACGCCCCACTCCCACAGCTGGTGACCCAAGATGAGACGCCCCACTCCCACAGCTGGTGGCCCAAGATGAGACGCCCCACTCCCACAGCTGGTGGCCCAAGATGAGACGCCCCACTCCCACAGCTGGTGGCCCAAGATGAGACGCCCCACTCTCACAGCTGGTGGCCCAAGATGAGACGTCCCACTCTCACAGCTGGTGGCCCAAGATGAGACGCCCCACTCCCACAGCTGGTGGCCCAAGATGAGACGCCCCACTCTCACAGCTGGTGGCCCAAGATGAGACGCCCCACTCCCACAGCTGGTGGCCCAAGATGAGACGCCCCACTCCCACAGCTGGTGGCCCAAGATGAGACGCCCCACTCCCACAGCTGGTGGCCCAAGATGAGACGCCCCACTCTCACAGCTGGTGGCCCAAGATGAGACGCCCCACTCCCACAGCTGGTGGCCCAAGATGAGACGCCCCACTCCCACAGCTGGTGGCCCAAGATGAGACGCCCCACTCCCACAGCTGGTGGCCCAAGATGAGACGCCCCACTCCCACAGCTGGTGGCCCAAGAACTTGGCTCTACTCGATGAGATTCAAATCCCACAATACCTAATCCCAAAATGAGAAACAGACTTACCCTCCCCCTTCTCACAAAAAATATACGCGTGCGTGCGTGCGTGAGAATTGAGGTACGTGAGTGAAGGCGTGCGTGGGCGTGCGTGAGAGCAGGGGGGGGGGGCGGCGGGGGCGACGCTCCCATGATAGATGGTTTGCACGCCCAGTAATTCACTGTTTTTACCCTCACCATAATCATCATCATCTTTCACTGTCCCGTCTCGTCAGTGTCGGAAGTCTTAGAAGGGGTATGGGAGTCTTAGAGGGGGGGGGGGAGGAGGGTATGGGAGTCTTAGAGGGGGGGGGTATGGGAGTCTTAGAGGGGGGGGAGGGGGTATGGGAGTCTTAGAGGGGAGGGGAGGGGGTATGGGAGTCTTAGAGGGGAGAAGGGGGGTGATTGAGGAGGATATTCAGTTCTCTTAGTCTTTCCTTATTGCTCAATTCCTTCAGCTCAGGAACCAGTCTCGTTACATATCTTTGGACCTTTTCAAAGTTCTTCTTCACCTTTTCATTAGGTAAGGGTTCCATGCTGCGGAAGCCATATACAAGAGTGGGTCTTATCTTCCCTACATACAGGGTCCAAAAACCTTATTACTTAACCTATACCGTTGATAGGTTAAGTAATAATTGTTAATAAGAAGCAATAAGATGCTTATCTTAACATACTAAGAAGGTTAGGTGAGGTCGGTGTTTTCTATGAAGCTTTTCAAGCTAAACTAAAATATTCACAATCAATTAGTATGTCACATATGCACTTATAAAATAAGCCAATATTGACAGTTAGTAAGTGCGAGAACGGGTTGGGAGCAGACCCCGATTGATTCTTCCGACTGATTCTTCCTAGATTGCTGTACTGGAGTTCGCACATCTGTTCCAGTCCTCATATCTTTGCACTTGGCTAGGTTAAATTCTAGCAGCCATTTTTCAGATCACGGTGAAGTATGTCCAGATTCAATTACAATGCATTACAATCTATTCCTGTCCTGACTGTTGTCATCAGTCTTCCATCAACTGCAGACAGTGATATGAAGGAACCACTTTCTATTTGACAGGTCGATGACATGTATCAGAAACAGAGATGAGCCTTAGAACTTACCTTTGTGGCACTCCACTCGTAACCTCTACGACCCACCATAGGACTCTTTCCAATAAACTAGAAGTAGGAGTCTTATGCAGGAACATATCGAATGCTTTCTGACAGTCGAGGAATATGCAGTCTGCCTTTCTCTCTCTCTCTTGCCTGATGGCTGCCATCTTTTGGTTAAACTCCAGCATACTTGTCAAGCAGGATTTTCCTTGATTATAAGTATGCTGGTATCTTAAGACAAAATGAATTTGTTCTAAATGTTCCACTGGCCTGCCTCGAATAGGTCTCTCCGGTAGCTTGCTGGGGTGCTTGTTAATGAGACGGGTGTCTAGTTTAAAGGGTTTCTGTCTTGCTCTTGACAGGAAGACTTGACAGTCTTCCTCATGTGATTGACACCACATTACGTATTTTCCAGCTGTCAGGAAGTTCTCCCGTTTCTAAAGAGGAATTAAATATTACCACAAGAGGGTTGCACAGTGCTTCAGCTGCCTCGTTTAGTACCCAAGGCGATATCTTGTCTGGTCCTCACGGCCTATGACACACCCAGTTCCTCTATGGCGCGTTTACCTCTAATGGTGACACTATTATTTCACTGAGGCTTTCCTGCGGTACTGACCAATTGGTTTGGGCTCTAAACCTTAGTGACAAATCAGGTTCCAGCTTGAATACTTCCTAATAGCTTTTGTCATGTTCCTCACATACCTCGTTATCATTTTCTGTGTGTCTTTCCTCCCGTGTGTCAAGTCTAATAACCTGATCATTCACAGTCATCGTTCTCTTGATATAACTACAGTTTTGGCTGAAGGAAGGAACTATCGGGGGGAAAGCGCCAAGCCATTACGACTATATAGCACTGAGAAGGGGTCAGGATAAGGATATAGAATAGGACGAGGTACAGTTTTGACCGGGACATGTATGCACCAGCCTCATCTTCTTGAGGTTATCTTGAGTTGATTTCGGGGCTTTAGTGTCCCCGCGGCCCGGTCCTTGACCAGGCCTCCACCCCCAGGAAGCAGCCCGTGACAGCTGACTAACACCCAGGTACCTATTTACTGCTAGGTAACAGGGGCATTCAGGATGAAAGAAACTTTGCCCATTTGTTTCTGCCTCGTGCGGGAATCGAACCCGCGCCACAGAATTACGAGTCCTGCGCGCTATCCACCAGGCTACCAGGCCCCTCATACTGTTTCTCTGTCACTCTTCTAGTTTCTGTGTACTCATTTCTGGCCTCTTTATGTACATTGTTATTTACTGCTCTTCTGTGTTCTCTATAATTCTTCCTTGTTCTTTTGCTCCTCTTTTGCTCCTCTTTTGCTGTTCTTTTGCTCCTCTTTTGCTTCCAGACATTGTTGAGCCCCGAGGGTCATGCTCGCCGGGTGGAATAAATGTGTGTCCGTGCGTGCGTGCTTGCGTGTGTGCGTGTGAGTGTGAGTGTGCGTGTGCGTGTGCGTGCGTGTGTAGCACTATATAAGTGAGCAGCGGCGCCGTCCCGTGCCCAACCAGTGCGGCGACAGTCAAGCTTAGATCTCCGCCCCGCCGTCTCTCTGGCGGCAGTATAAGACACTACGGCTATTTAACATGCGCGTTTAACTCGGGCATTTTCTCTGCTTCTCCCTCTGCTCCACTTCTGTCTGCACCACTCCTGTCTGCTCCACTGCTGTCTGCTCCACTCCTCTCTGCTCCACTGCTGTCTGCTCCACTCCTGTCTGCTCCACTGCTGTCTGCTCCACTCCTGTCTGCTCCACTTCTGTCTGCTCCACTGCTGTCTGCTCCACTCCTGTCTGCTCCACTGCTGTCTGCTCCACTCCTGTCTGCTCCACTGCTGTCTGCTCCACTCCTGTCTGCTCCACTGCTGTCTGCTCCACTCCTGTCTGCTCCACTTCTGTCTGCACCACTCCTGTCTGCTCCACTGCTGTCTGCTCCACTCCTCTCTGCTCCACTCCTGTCTGCTCCACTCCTGTCTGCTCCACTGCTGTCTGCTCCACTCCTGTCTGCTCCACTGCTGTCTGCTCCACTCCTGTCTGCTCCACTTCTGTCTGCACCACTCCTGTCTGCTCCACTGCTATCTGCTCCACTCCTGTCTGTTCCACTTCTGTCTGCACCACTCCTGTCTGTTCCACTGCTGTCTGCACCACTCCTGTCTGTTCCACTTCTGTCTGCACCACTCTTGTCTGCTCCACTGCTGCTGGCACTGTCTGCTATGTTCCTGCTGGCACTGTCTGCACCACTCCTGTCTGCTCCACTGCTGCTGGCACTGTCTGCTATGTTCCTGCTGGCACTGTCTGCTATGTTCCTGCTGGCACTGTCTGCTATGTTCCTGCTGGCACTGTCTGCTATGTTCCTGCTGGCACTGTCTGCTATGTTCCTGCTGGCACTGTCTGCTATGCTCCTGCTGGCACTGTCTGCTATGTTCCTGCTGGCACTGTCTGCTATGTTCCTGCTGGCACTGTCTGCTATGTTCCTGCTGGCACTGTCTGCTATGTTCCTGCTGGCACTGTCTGCTATACTCCTGCTGGCACTGTCTGCTTTACTCCTGCTGGCACTGTCTGCTATACTCCTGCTGGCACTGTCTGCTATACTCCTGCTGGCACTGTCTGCTATGCTCCTGCTGGCACTGTCTGCTATGTTCCTGCTGGCACTGTCTGCTATGTTCCTGCTGGCACTGTCTGCTATACTCCTGCTGGCACTGTCTGCTATACTCCTGCTGGCACTGTCTGCTACACTCCTGCTGGCACTGTCTGCTATACTCCTGCTGGCACTGTCTGCTATACTCCTGCTGGCACTGTCTGCTATACTCCTGCTGGCACTGTCTGCTCGATTTCACAGAACACAGTGGAGCATTATGACACAGTAGAACACTGGAGCATTATGACAGTAGAACACACTGGAGCATTATGGCACAGTAGAACACAGTGGAGCATTATGACACAGTGGAGCATTATGGCACAGTGGAGCATTATGACACAGTGGAGCATTATGACACAGTGGAGCATTATGGCACAGTGGAGCATTATGACACAGTGGAGCATTATGGCACAGTAGAACACACTGGAGCATTATGACACAGTAGAACACACTGGAGCATTATGACACAGTAGAACACACTGGAGCATTATGGCACAGTAGAACACAGTGGAGCATTATGGCACAGTAGAACACAGTGGAGCATTATGGCACAGTAGAACACAGTGGAGCATTATGGCACAGTAGAACACACTGGAGCATTATGGCACAGTAGAACACACTGGAGCATTATGGCACAGTAGAACACCATGGAGCATTATGGCACAGTAGAACACACTGGAGCATTATGGCACAGTAGAACACACTGGAGCATTATGGCACAGTAGAACACACTGGAGCATTATGACACACTGGAGCATTATGGCACAGTAGAACACAGTGGAGCATTATGACACACTGGAGCATTATGGCACAGTAGAACACAGTGGAGCATTATGGCACAGTAGAACACAGTGGAGCATTATGACACAGTGGAGCATTATGGCACAGTAGAACACAGTGGAGCATTATGACATAGTGGAGCATTATGGCACAGTAGAACACACTGGAGCATTATGACACACTGGAGCATTATGGCACAGTAGAACACAGTGGAGCATTATGACACACTGGAGCATTATGGCACAGTAGAACACAGTGGAGCATTATGACACACTGGAGCATTATGGCACAGTAGAACACAGTGGAGCATTATGGCACAGTGGAGCATTATGGCACAGTAGAACACACTGGAGCATTATGGCACAGTAGAACACAGTGGAGCATTATGGCACAGTAGAACACAGTGGAGCACTATGACACACTGGAGCATTATGGCACAGTAGAACACAGTGGAGCATTATGACACACTGGAGCATTATGGCACAGTAGAACACAGTGGAGCATTATGACACACTGGAGCATTATGGCACAGTAGAACACAGTGGAGCATTATGACACACTGGAGCATTATGGCACAGTAGAACAGTGGAGCATTATGCCAGACCAAGATACGCGGCACCATTAGGAAGGAGGTGCCATAATGCCAGGGAGAGATAAAGCGAGGCACCACTATGGCACTCGTGACATAGAGATAGACACACAATGCCACTAGGTCAAAAATCTCAGCATAAACATTAGGTGCCACGGAGAATGGCACCGTAACTTGTCGTATGGTGCCATCATCCAAACACTATTGTGGCACTTTTGTCATCCTCAGCCTCCTATGTGCATGCCATCTCCTTGCAATAACTGTGCAATATGGGAGAGAAGGAGGGAGAGGAGATGGAATAGGGAGAGAAATGATCTCAGAGGAAAGGAATTTTTGGGAGGCTGTATAAAACAGCTTTATCTGACGGTACAGTTGTTATCTTGAGGTTATCTTGAGTTGATTTCGGGGCTTTTTTAGTGTCCCCGCGGCCCGGTCCTCGACCAGGCCTCCACCCCCAGGAAGCAGCCCGTGACAGCTGACTAACACCCAGGTACCTATTTTACTGCTAGGTAAAATAGGGGCATAGGGTGAAAGAAACTATGCCCATTGTTTCTCGCCGGCGCCTGGGATCGAACCCAGGACCACAGGATCACAAGTCCAGCGTGCTGTCCGCTCGGCCGACCGGCTCCCCATGGTAGGGGAGTATAGGGGAGTTGCAAAATCAATGGTATATATTGCAAGGTAACATTACAACTATTATTTAGTGAACAACACGTTAAAAACATATGCGGGTATGCGCTATATCGCGTATACTCAGAGCTTTCATTTCATATTTATGAATAATTTACATATGTGAGTGTAGGGATCACATTCCTGGCTCGTTAATAATGCCATTTGGGTAGGTAATTTGGCTTATATATTCAGAACAGTCGCTGGTGTATGTGAATTCTATGTCATCATATATATGATGACAAGTGATAATGAACTAACTGCATTTTACCACAACAAAAGCAGGTGAATTTATGGAAAAAAAACGTGCTCTCTATGTTGGGGATTTTCTATTATCTAATTCTTGATTTAATTTCATGCAAAATATATCCTAATTTGCCTCATTCGAGGGTTACTACCCTGACACACAGCCTATTGGTTCCCGGGTTCGATTCCCGGGCAGAACGAGACGTTTGGGCAAGTATCTTTACACCTCATGCCTCTGTTCTCCTAGCAGTAAAATGGTACCTTGGAGCGAGTCAACTATTGTCAGGTTCCACCCACCAATATATCATTAATATCATTTAATATATATGTAAGAAGATGTGTAATGGAGATTAACATGTAGTGACATTATTTTTAACACACTGAGTACAGAGGTGTATATATATATATATATATATATATATATATATATATATATATATATATATATATATATATATATATATATACACCTATATACACCTTCTGGGTGTATGTATACTGATAGTTTCCTTAAGTTCTCGAAGATGATCAGGACTAAAGACTATTTATTCAATGAATATTCATTCATTGTACTTACAATGATGATGCGATGTTATACTGGTCTATATACGACGTAGTTACACTGATGGTGTAGTTATACTGAGGTATACACCAGGTAGTTATACTGAGGTATACACCAGGTAGTTATACTGAGGTATATACCATACACTGAAGACGTGACACCATAATGGTATGTCTTACAGATTCTTTTGTTATCATGGATCGTGTATTGATCAATAATGTTATAATATATTGATCAATAATGTTATAATATATTGATCAATAATGATATATTGATCAATAATGATATATTGATCAATAATGATATATTGATCAGTAATGTTATATAATGGATTGATCAATAATGTTATATTGCATTGATCAGTAATGTTATAATGTATTGATCAATAATGTTATAATGTATTGATCAATAATGTTACTATGTATTGATCAATAATGTTATAATATATTGATCAATAATTTGTATAACACATTGATCAATAATGTTATAATATATTGACCTATTGGTCAATAATATTATAATATATTGATCAATAAAGTAATGAGGTGTTGTGATGCCCGCGAGGTCGGGCAGTAAGGATACGATGTTGTACATTTTTACAACTTTTCTGTGTAAATAAATAAGGTAGTTGATGTTATACATTATGAACACACACACACGCCTTTGGTCCCGCGAGAGGCGGGACCAAAGAGCCAGAGCTCAACCCCCGCAAACACAACTAGGTGAGTACAACTAGGTGAGTACACACACACACGTGATGTGTGTGTGGTGGAGGCTGACTCCATACACAGTTTCAAGTGTACACACACACACACACACACACACACACACACACACACACACACACACACACACACACACACACACACACACATGTAGATATGATAGAGCCCAGTAGGCTCAGGAACCTGTACACCAGTTGATTGACGGTTGAGAGGCGGGACCAAAGAGCCAGAGCTCAACCCCCGCAAACACAACTAGGTGAGTACACACACACATGAATTCCATAGTTCATTGTTAAATAACTGTATCTTAATATTTAATTACGAATTATTTTTGTACAATTATTTTTAATCAGTTATTCAGTTCAATAGTGTGTGTACTTACCTAGTTGTGCTTGCGGGGGTTGAGCTCTGGCTCTTTGGTCCCGCCTCTCAACCGTCAATCAACTGGTGTACAGGTTCCTGAGCCTACTGGGCTCTATCATATCTACATGTGTGTGTGTGTGTGTGTGTGTGTGTGTGAGTACTCACCTAGTTGTACTCACCTAGTTGTGCTTGCGGGGGTTGAGCTCTGGCTCTTTGGTCCCGCCTCTCAACTGTCAATCAACAGGTGTACAGGTTCCTGAGCCTACTGGGCTCTATCATATCTACATGTGTGTGTGTGTGTGTGTGAGTACTCACCTAGTTGTACTCACCTAGTTGTGCTTGCGGGGGTTGAGCTCTGGCTCTTTGGTCCCGCCTCTCAACTGTCAATCAACAGGTGTACAGGTTCCTGAGCCTATTGGGCTCTATCATATCTACACTTGAAACTGTGTATGGAGTCAGCCTCCACCACATTGCTTCCTAATGCATTCCATTGTCAACCACTCTCACACTAAAAAGTTCTTTCTAATATCTCTGTGGCTCATTTGGGCACTCAGTTTCCACCTGTGTCCCCTAGTGCGTGTGCCCCTTGTGTTAAATAGCCTATCTTTATCAACCCTGTCGATTCCCTTGAGAATCTTGAATGTGGTGATCATGTCCCCCCTAACTCTTCTGTCTTCCAACGAAGTGAGGTTCAATTCCCATAGTCTCTCCTCGTAGCTCATACCTCTCAGCTCGGGTACTAGTCTGGTGGCAAACCTTTGAACCTTTTCCAGTTTAGTCTTATGCTTGACTAGATATGGACTCCATGCTGGAGCCGCATACTCCAGGATTGGTCTGACATATGTGGTATATAATGTTCTGAAAGATTCCTTACACAAGTTTCTAAAGGCCGTTCTTATGTTAGCCAACCTGGCATATGCTGCTGATGTTATCCTCTTGATATGAGCTTCAGGGGACAGGTCTGGCGTGATATCAACCCCCAGGTCTTTCTCTCTCTCTGACTCTTGAAATATATTATCAAACATATATTGGAGAGTATATCTTATACCCCCCCCCCTTACCCATATTATAACAAAGAGGTCATCGTTTTCTTATATCCAGTAAATTGGTCATTTGAGCAAGGAGTTAAGTTGTGTTGTGGCAATGCCATGAGTATCTATGATGGTCCTGGGTCCTGGGTTCGATCCCAGGCGCCGGCGAGAAACAATGGGCAGAGTTTCTTTCACCCTATGCCCCTGTTACCTAGCAGTA